TACTTCTCTAACTATTAATGATCAGGATCGTGTTAAAACACTCACTATATGACCTTATGATGCCTAGCCGTGTGATCATGATACTTCTCTAACTATTAATGATCAGGATCGTGTTAAAACACTCACTATATGACCTTATGATGCCTAGCCGTGTGATCATGATACTTCTCTAACTATTAATGATCAGGATCGTTTAAAACACTCACTCTTTGATCCTCTGATGCCGTGTGATCACGACAACACTTAACGAAATGAATTAAAATTCTTTTTTTAATCATTTTCTGCAACAGGGCATATTTCTCAAGTAAAACCGTCTACCAGTAAACCTTCCTGGAAAAACATTTCTTGTAGTCCGATACCGTTTCAGGATACTGGATACAGTATGCTGGGGGTAACCTACTGTTCTGCCAATGCTCATTTGCTCTATACCATTTTTAGACAGTCGAACAATTTCATGCTCTATAACTTCTGGCATGTGACGAGGCATAACTCTAAACTAATGGGCCCAGCATGTCCAGATAGCCCTCGTGTAGCTTTGCGCGAAATTAAAAACAAACAAACTAACTAACTAAACTAAGAACAGAGAAATTATCTGAACAAAGCTTTGATCTATTTCTTAAAACATTACTCCAAAAGTACACCCTTTTATACAAAGCAGGTGTGTATGTGTGTTTTAACAAACAAATGCTCAAAACAACATATTCAGACCAGAAGGCCCCCAGTGGCACAGCGGTATGTCTTCGTTCTTAAAACGCTAGAAACCTAGTTTCCATACCCGTGGTGGGCTGAGCACAAATAGCCCATTGTGTAGATTTGTACAGACCAGAATAACAACTCGTACATATCTTTCCAATCATACGCTGCCTTCTCTGTTACTATTCGGACATTTACTCAATAACTACTCCATGCATGTAGACAATAACATCTTTATAAAGCAGTATGCAAACATATTGGCCAAGACTGTATTTCCTCTACCCATTTTGACGCTATCGAGTGTATCCTTTAGTCAGATAAGACTGTCTTACTACGAGTGTTCTTTATAGTCTTTGGAAACCCAGCAGTCGTGAGAGATTTATTCACGAAACAACGGAGTAATATCAGTCTTTGAGCTAAAATGAGCTTATATTATATTGTATACTAAAACGTTGAAAATATGTCTATTAAATCACTTATTTTTCCGATCAGCAGCCTAGGAGGTGATTTAAGTCTAGTTATTAGCCACACCTTCCTCAACTTTGTCGCTAGTACTTATTACATCATACT